GCAACAACTCAAAAGTATGAAGATGAATCTGCCAGGCATGCACACCTACCCCTCTCCTGTGAGCTGATGGAAAGACAAGTGTCCGCTCTCTGACTGCAGGAATCTTTGGTTCGCTTTGGGCCGAAGTCGCAGCTACCATCCAAAACCTCTCAACGCTACCAGGGCAACAGGCAGAGGATTATGGGACCGTACCATTCTGCTGTCAAAGGGGATTAGAGCGCACACAACATGGCCCCTTTCTTTCCCCGTGTGTGTGTGTGTGTGCGTGTGTGTGTGTGTGTGTGTGTGTGTGTGTGTGTGTGTGTGTGTGTGTGTGTGTGTGTGTGTGTGTGTGTGTGTGTGTGTGTGTGTGTGTGTGTCGCAAATGTCCAGATTACCCGTACTGGCGTTCTCATCCAGAGACGGCTTTACAGAGACGATGCGGACGGTCAGATTGAAACTTCAAATGGTCAGTAAATTGGATGTATTTTCATGCTATCCGTTAATATGCGACACAAATCCTGCGATATACAAAAGTTTGGACACATTTCACAAACTAACCTCAAGCATTGAGGAAGAAGCCTTTAGCTCACACAAATGCATAATGAACTGATAAGAACTGATATTTTCTGCACCACTATTGTATAATTTATGAGTGTTTTTCCAAGCCACACCTTCTGCTCCGCCCTCTGACTGCCATTGGTCACCAAACAGATAGTCCCGCCCACAACTCGCGTCATTGGTCGAGTCAGAGATGAGTGTTAAACTGGTGTATGAAAAAGCATTTTCACATCCAAAATAAACTTCAGGATTTCTATGGAAAATATTAATAAATTCTATGAATAAAACAGAAACGGAACTAATCAAAAAAGAAACTAAGACTACATGCACTTTATCGTTAACACATACAGGTTAAATTAAATTAAAATGCACTGGACTTCATCGCGTGTCAATCGGAGATGCTCGGATAGTCACGACTCGCAGCATGTGAGAGGAATTACGAGCCGAGTCCCTAATTCCCTTTTTAAACATGTTCAATGAGTCGGGCTGAATTTGACCGGTGTATAGAAGGTATTCACATGACATCACAGTGGGCGGAGTCACTGCGGTTACACCCACTGAGCTGAAAACACACAAACACACATCTAAAGTGGGAAAGAGCTGTGCGATCGACTGTACAAAGAGATTCTACAAGAAATCTGAGCACTTTAATTTCGCCAACAAACTTCATCTTGAAGTGTGACCAAGCGTCAAGTCAATTCAAATTTATTTACATAATGCTTCACAATGTTTGCGTTTCCAAGCAGCTTTGCAGAAAGTCATAATGTTATGTATGCGCAATATACACAAACACACACGAACACACACATATATAAACATCTATATACACACAGACGCACATGCACACATACACAAACACACACACGAACACACACATATATAAACATCTATATACACACAGACGCACATGCACACAAACACAAACACACACACATACGCACACATATATAAACATCCATGAACACATGGACGCACATGCACACATACACAAACACATACGCACATACACAAACACACATATATAAACATCCATGAACACACGCACGCACATGCACATGCACACATACACAAACACATACACACACACACACATAAACACACATATATAAACACCCATAAACACACGCACGCACATGCACACATACACAAACACATAAACACACATACACACAAACACACGCACACATATATAAACATCCATGAACACACGCACATGCACACATACACAAACACACACACACATACACAAACGCACACATACACACACAAGCACACACACACATACACGCACACATATATAAACATCCATGAACACACGCACATGCACAGTTGCATACATACACAAACGCACACATACACACACAAACACGAACACACACAAACATATGCACGCACATGCACACAAACAAACATGAACAAACACACATGCACACACACACACACACGAACACAAACATACACATACACACGTGCGTGCACACAAACACATGCACACAGCCACACACGCGCACACACACACACGAACACAAACATATACACACGAACACAAACATATACACATGCACACACACACGAACACAAACATACACACACATACACGCACACATATAAATATATATGCGAACACATGCACACCGCATATATCTACTCTATCATTGTGAGGACATTGACTGACACAATCTCTGCCCATCACAGTTACAGTGACTGCCTAACCTGAACCTGACCCTACCCTTGACCTAATTATCACCTAATCCCTAAAACCAAGTCTTGACCTTCAAACAGGCCTTTAAACAGCTCTTCGAAAGTGAGGATCGGACTAAATGTCCTCACTTTACTCTCTTTGTCCTCACAAAGATAGCTGTACAAGTACACACACACACACTGTGTTGGGTTCAGTATGTAGAGTTGCTCATTAGCCAGTATTACAGATTATGGTGTAGTCCATTACATAAGAGCAGAAACATCATTCGTTTCAGTGTAAACACAAAATAAGCCCTGAAAAAACCCCACAGGAACAGACCCATCATAAACACGTGGACAATAATCCCGACTCCTTCACAGAGGAAGTGACTCCATCCAGGAAAGAATCCTCCAGATTCCCGTTTATATCAATGACACTTAAGAGCTCGGAGAAACGGCTGAGCAATAACAGCATTACAACAGTTTACCAGTGGACTGAGCGGATTAAACCAGGACGGTGAGTGGGATGTAGGCCAGTGGTTTCAACTGGTTTTGCTTCACAACCCAGATTGGGAAGCAAAGACTCCAAAAGAATAATATGAACAATGTGGGAAGAATGGGAAAATTTTAAATTTGCTTCCCAAACATCTCTTAAATTATAATAATTTCACACATAAAAAATTTTCTGTGACACTTTTAGCAGAGACCATTGACCAGAGTTATTAGTTAACTAAAAAAAAAAAAAAAAAAAAAAAAACTATATATATATATGTTAATTAAAATAAAATAAACATTAACTAAAATTAAATTAAATACAAATACTTTTATTTCAGCTAGTTTTCAGCTATCAAAGCTACACATGTCTCATTTTCATTTAGTACTAAAAAAAATAAACTGAAATAAATTAATAAAAAACTAGATGAAAAAAAATTATATTTGAAAAGTTAACAGAAAAAATATATATAAAAAAACTAATTATTTTATTTCAGCTACTTAAATAAACTTAAATAAATGTACAGTATAAAAAAATTAACCAATAAAAATAAAAAGGTTTAAGTTTTTTAAGTTTAACAAATGCTCGCCTTGCTCTGTTCTGTGAGACCTTTTCAACGTAATTGCGTATTACGTGATGGCACGAACGCGCAACTTAAACCTTTTTATTTATTATTGAAATGACCGATCGTTTCGCTAGATAAGACCCTTATTCATCGTCTGGTGTCGTTTAAAGCCCTTTGAAGCTTCACTGAAACTGTCATTTGGACCTTGAACCGTTTGGACCCCATTGAAGTCCATTATATGGAGAAAAATCCTGGAATGTTTTCATCAAAAACCTTCATTTCTTTTCGACTGAAGAAAGAAAGACATGGACATCTTGGATGACATGGGGGTGAGTAAATTAGCAGCAAAAGTTTTTTTAAAAGTGAACTAATCCTTTAACTCAATCGCTACTTTCATGTTTTCATAATAGCACTATGCTATATTATGATTATTAAATGCTTTTAATATTGTGCATCCTTAGAAAACGGTCTAATAATGCATTTCATGGATTCTCATCTGTAAAATGCGCCGGTTTTGCCGGTTAATCAACACAACCACATGATATTTTTTAAATGAGTAGTCGAAATTAATCAGCTCTAGTAAACTGTGTAAAAAAAACTGACCAGTTATAAATAGAATAATATTGAATAAAAAAATATTGGGTAACACTTTATAGTACGACCCGCAAACACATACACAACCGAAATTACGGTGTACGTTTCTGTAATTATAGTGTACTTCCGTGTAGGAATGAGGGAACAATATGTTAATTTTTGGGTAATAAAGGGGTACAACCAGATATACAAGCACATTATTTATACTGTAATTATTTTAAAACTAACGGGTAGCTACCTATTCTGTTAATATATTCCAGGCAAAAATTGTACGTCTGTTGTATATAAAAGTTATCATCACATTTCTGGCAAAATATGTTCTCGTGCAATGTAGTTACAGGGTAATTTTGACATCTGTGGGTTGTAAATTAAATATACATACATATATATATATATATATATATATATTAGGGCTGTCAAGTGATTAATCGTGATTAATCACATCCAAAATAAAAGTTTTTGTTTACATAATATATGTGGGTGCACTGTGTATAATTATTTTATATATATATAAATACACACGCATGCTTGTATATATTTAAGAAATATTTTCATGTATATACTGTATATAGATTTATATATAATTTATATTATATATAAATATAAATATTTTATATATAAATAATATTTTTTTTCTTAAATATACATGCATGTGTGTGTATTTATATATATACAAAATAATTATACATACACAGTGCACCCACATATATTATGTAAACAAAAACCTTTATTTTGGATGTGATTAATCACGATTAATCATTTGACAGCCCTAATATATATATATATATATATATGGCTGTATGTAAGCACAGTATGATCAAAATTGAATTTATTGGCTTTTCTTACTAAACTACTTAAAGTAAAGCCAAAAAAATGATATCTGGTTGCACCCCTTTATTACCCAAAACTTAACATATTGTTCCCTTATTCCTACACGGAAGTACACTATAATTACAGTAACGTACACCGTAATTTCGGTTTACTTACGCAGTTGTTTGCGGGTCGTAATATAAAGTGTTACCCAATATTGATGTCTTTCATAGATAAACATTCCTAAGTTCATATTCATATCACATGTGATTTTTGGCTCAATGTTGGGAAACAGGCGCGTGTTGTGCCGGCACTCACCCTGTCGTCTCTGTCCTGTCTCTCTGAAGTGTTTTCTGCAGTCGCGCCGCTCTGATCTCTGGTAGAAGAGACCGACAGCTGTCTCTGGAGACGCAGAACCTCCTTCTGAGACTCCTTCAGGAGACGCTCAAACTCACTGACTCCCACAGGACCCTGAGCGAGACATGGAGGACATCAATCAGCGTGTTTTGCAGATCACTTAAATAGTCCTGCGGTGAGACAAATGTTGGTTCTGTGCCAGGTTCACACTTCAAATGTATGCCTGTGTACTTAAAAGTGTGTGTTCAGTGAATGCTGGCTATGTGCAGTACATGACACCTCCTGCAGGTGGAGACAGAAGTCATAATAATCAAAATGCAAGAGGGAACTGAGAGCTGAAATATAATAGAAGAGCAAATGCACAGGAATCATGTTATGTATTTAGTAAGTTGGTCATATATTTTAAGAACTTGATAAAAAAAAAAAATCAATCTGATTCTGATGTAAAATAAAATAAACAATATCAATCAATCAATCAATCAATCAATCGATCGATAGCCATGAGACTGCATAATTTTGTTGGCAAAACATCTACTCCAAAGAGTGAACAGTTGAAATATAAGAAAAACTGCACAGAAATCATGTTGTTTTTTTAGTAATTATTACAAACATTCAGTTGATCATATATTTTAAGAACTTCAGTACAAAAAAACATATGAACAGAAAAGATCTAATCTGATTCTGATGCAAAATAACCCAAGAAAATAAGATGAAAAACAAATAAAGTTTAATTTAATAAAAAATAAATCAATAATAAAATAAAATAATAAGCCTGACAGAAACTTAGTTGGAACTTCAAAGAGGGAACTGCAGAGGAATCATGCTATATATTTAGTAATTATTACAAACATCCAGTTGAACATATGAACAGAAAAGATCTGATTCTGATACAAAATAACCTAATAAGATTTAAAAAAAAATACAAGACTATGGCTGACTAAAATTTATTGGGAAAAATCAAATCTGAAGAGGGAACTGAGAGCTGAAATACATGAGCAACTGCACAGAAATCATGTTATATATTTAGTAACTATTACAAACATCCAGTTGAACATGAACATATGAACAGAATATCTAGTCTGACTCTGATGCAAAATAACCTTAAAAAAATTAGCCGAAAGACTATGGCTGACTAAAATTCGTTGGCAAAAATCTACTATATTTTAAGAACTTAATTTTAAAAAAAACATGAAGAGATCTATTCTGATTCTGATGCAAATCAGCAATACTTAAAGGGATAGTTCAGCCCGAAATGAAAATTAGCCCATGATTTACTCACCCTGAAGTCATCCTATGTGTACAGTATATGACTTTCTTCTTTCAGACGAATACAGTTATATTGTATTGATGCACTTTTATCATGAATAGATGCACTTTTATAATGAATAGACGCACTTTTATCATGAATAGATGCACTTTTATCATGAATAGATGCACTTTTATCATGGATAGATGCACTTTTATCATGAATAGATGCACTTTTATGATGATAGATGCACTTTTATCATGGATAGATGCACTTTTATGATGGATAGATGCACTTTTATCATGAATAAATGCACTTTTATCATGAATAGATGCACTTTTATGATGGATAGATGCACTTTTATCATGGGTAGATGCACTTTTATGATGGATAGATGCACTTTTATCATGAATAGATGCACTTTTATCATGGATAGATGCACTTTTATCATGAATAGATGCACTTTTATGATGGATAGATGCACTTTTATGATGGATAGATGCACTTTTATCATGAATAGATGCACTTTTATCATGAATAGATGCACTTTTATCATGAATAGATGCACTTTTATCATGGATAGATGCACTTTTATCATGAATAAATGCACTTTTATCATGAATAGATGCACTTTTATGATGATAGATGCACTTTTATCATGGATAGATGCACTTTTATGATGGATAGATGCACTTTTATCATGAATAAATGCACTTTTATCATGAATAGATGCACTTTTATGATGGATAGATGCACTTTTATCATGGGTAGATGCACTTTTATGATGGATAGATGCACTTTTATCATGAATAGATGCACTTTTATCATGGATAGATGCACTTTTATCATGAATAGATGCACTTTTATGATGGATAGATGCACTTTTATCATGAATAGATGCATTTTTATCATGAAAAGATGCACTTTTATGATGGATACATGCACTTTTATCATGAATAGATGCACTTTTATCATGGATAGATGCACTTTTATGATGGATAGATGCACTTTTATCATGGGTAGATGCACTTTTATGATGGATAGATGCACTTTTATCATGAATAGATGCACTTTTATCATGGATAGATGCACTTTTATCATGAATAGATGCACTTTTATGATGGATAGATGCACTTTTATCATGAATAGATGCATTTTTATCATGAATAGATGCACTTTTATGATGGATAGATGCACTTTTATCATGAATAAATGCACTTTTATCATGAATAGATGCACTTTTATCATGGATAGATGCACTTTTATGATGGATAGATGCACTTTTATCATGAATAGATGCACTTTTATCATGAATAGATGCACTTTTATGATGGATAGATGCACTTTTATCATGGATAGATGCACTTTTATCATGAATAGATGCACTTTTATCATGGATAGATGCACTTTTATCATGAATAGATGCACTTTTATCATGGGTAGATGGACTTTTATCATGAATAGATGCACTTTTATGATGGATAGATGCACTTTTATCATGAATAGATGCACTTTTATCATGGATAGATGCACTTTTATCATGAATAGATGCACTTTTATGATGAATAGATGCACTTTTATCATGGATAGATGCACTTTTATCATGGATAGATGCACTTTTATGATGGATAGATGCACTTTTATCATGGATAGATGCACTATCATCGATAGATGCACTTTTATCATGAATAGATGCACTTTTATGATGGACAGATGCACTTTTATCATGGATAGATGCACTTTTATGATGGATAGATGCACTTTTATCATGAATAGATGCACTATCATGGATAGATGCACTTTTATGATGGATAGATGCACTTTTATCATGGGTAGATGCACTTTTATCATGAATAGATGCACTATCATGGATAGATGCACTTTTATGATGGATAGATGCACTTTTATCATGAATAGATGCACTTTTATCATGAATAGATGCACTTTTATGATGGATAGATGCACTTTTATCATGAATAGATCGAGGGCTTGGAGCCAGAGGGGCGTAAGTGGCTTTTGACCAACTTTACAGGAGAGACAAAACAAAATTTTGACCACACTTCAATCACATGTATCATTAACCTTAAACCACAAACATTGCAACCACAGGTATACTTACATGAATGAGTATTTAAGTAAAAAATGTATGGCATATTAACACAATGAACATGTTCTAAAACATTTAAAAATAAAAAAATATGTCAAAAACGTCAGATACGCCTTTTTGGCACCAAACATTTCCAAGTCTTCTATGGACATATTGGGCGTATCTGCTGAACAATGCAGAAAATATTTGATAAAAAGGGGAATTGATTGAATAATTAACACTTGAATCACACTTGAACAAGTAATTATTTTTCATTTAACTCATTCATTATTATTATTATTATTATTATTATTTTTTTTTCACCTTTCCATTCTGGGCATCTGCTGAACACTACAGACTGTAATTAAAGTCACTGAACTTGCTAAACACACTTCTGATTGGCAATTCATGAGTTGTTCAATTGATTTCATTACAATTCTTTTTTTTTCAATACTCTATTCAATTGACAGTTCTCTCGTGTTCTTTTTGCTTTTTAGTTCTTTTCCCTCACCTTCCTTCCTGGAACATGAATGCCATGTGAATTAATGTACCCTTGGCCAGAATTTCTTAACCTTTTACGTTGGTTTCTTTTCCAATTTTCAACATCTCTCTGTCTTTTTCTTCCTTTTTGTGGTGTGTTGGCATCCTCTTCCTGGCCACTTTCAACCCCTCCCTCCTAAACAGGCTCAATGTCTACTGTCTCAGTCCCTCGATCTTCTTCTGTCTCCATGTGTCCCTCATCAATTGCATGATCTGTGTCCCTGCCTGTCTCTCTTTCCCCATCTTCTGCTGTCTACATGTGTCCCTCATCTCTCTCCCTCATCTCATGCTGTGTCCCTAAATTATATAATTAATATTTATTAATATCCTACATGAATGCCCTGATACTAATAACTCGGGGTAAGGATTAGATAAGGTAATGTTCTAACTTATTTTCTATGCAAGTCAGAACTCACTTCCTCCATCTGTCTCCATGTGTCCCTCAAGTTGATCTCTCTTCCTCACCTCATGGATATAATATCCTACATAATACAGGATATAATATCCTACATGAGTGCCCTGAATCTATTAGTTCAAGGCTAGGGTAAAGTAGATTATGAGAAAGTTCAAAAGAATATTCTCTGTCAGAACACAGGCACAGTTAGCCAGATCAGACCAAACCAATGGGATTAACGTTAGCCATGCTAGGCTAGGCTAACAAGGTAAGGCTCTCAAGGCATGATTATGTCTTACTGTCATCACTCTTGTGAGGAAATGCATTCAAACAACTCTGACTCATCTTCAACTTCTTCAATATACACTCACCTAAAGGATTATTAGGAACACCATCCTAATACTGTGTTTGACCCCCTTTCGCCTTCAGAACTGCCTTAATTCTACGTGGCATTGATTCAATAAGGTGCTGAAAGCATTCTTTAGAAATGTTGGCCCATATTGATAGGATAGCATCTTGCAGTTGATGGAGATTTGTGGGATGCACATCCAGGGCACAAAGCTCCCGTTCCACCACATCCCAAAGATGCTCTATTGGAGATCTGGTGACTGTGGGGGCCATTTTAGTACAGTGAACTCATTGTCATGTTCAAGAAACCAATTTGAAATGATTCGAGCTTTGTGACATGGTGCATT